ATGAAAGTTGAAAACCTCGCTCTGGGAAGGTGAGCATGTACTAACAGTGTTTTGTGCTGTTAACAACACCATGAATAATATGAATGGCTGGCAACAACAAAAGAGCTGCTAACAGCTTTGCTACATGAATGAGAAAACAGACTACAAATGACCTCTTCTCATTTGTAAAATAAATAAATAAATCGCCAAAGACATTCTTTTAAGTCTGACCCAAGAGTACAATAAATGTAAGGTTGTAATCATATAATATGTTTTAATTAACTGTGATCACAAACAACAAAACAGCCCATTTTTAAAGACACCGCATGGCTCGTTGAGCAAATAAAATGCAGTCTTTCTTCATTTAATTTTACAAATCTCAAAAACGTAGGCCTACTGATATCTGATTTCGATTTTCCGGCTACACAAAACAATTGTGATAGATTACTAAACAGATTGAATTAGATACCACACCAGGGGCCTCATTTTATTAAAAGCAAGTCAAAGTGATATGAACTTTGGTGGGGATTTTAGCAACACTCAAAAGCCACACCAATGTTCATATTTATAAACATTTTATGTGGAAAATTGCTCAAGTATATTTGGAAATCTAAGCAAATCTTTTCTCAAGTAAACGATTTGGAGGATGACCGGTGCTCTTTTGTGTTAATGACATTAATCAGTTGCCTTTTACAAGGTGGAGATTGGAAACCATTCAGCTGCGCAAAATTTGAAGATCATTTGTGATTTTCACATCTGGAAGAGAGGTGTACAAAGTTTTTGGGCGTAGGCCAACGTTCGTTCTCTAGATCACACGTAAGCCTACCAACATTTGAGAAATCATCATGAGATCAAACGCAGGACGGTTTCTACATAACATTTTATAAAAGAGGCCCCCGGGTTCTTGTGTTCATGTAAGCCTTTAAACATCGACACATACAGGGAAATGATGCGTCATTGATGTACCGTGTCATTCAGACACTGTAAAACAAATAAAACCTGTATGAAAATAATATGTACATTCAAGAGATACTTTAGTATAGTGATATCGAAGCAAAACACACCCAAGGCTTTCAACAACACATCTAAGCCTTAATAACTCACAAGTAAGGCAATAAACAAGCCATCGCCTTTTATCCAGCAGACCACCCAGTTTAAAATAATTAATTTTACAAAAATAAGATAGATATTGCCTCGATAATCCTTATATTTGTTCACAAATGGACAAAAACAGGGTTTCATAAAAAGACTTCACAAGGGTTTAAATGACCCATAAAGGGAGATTACGTTCCTTTTGGAAAGCAATCTCAACGTTTATACAGTACCCGACGAAGCAACATTTCATAAAAATGTTCAAAGTCGCACATCATTCTGAGTTTTACAATCTACTGTCCATTTCTGAATGCAAATAAGAAATGTAAGAATGAATACCAGGTAGACCTCCAATTGTATCGGCTATGACTGTTGAACGTAACGTAACGTAACATAACATACATTGATATTGATCTGTAATCAGTGTATTAAGATCATTCCCCAGTCAGGCTGGTGTCACCTTACACACACATATAAACTGTGTATGCCATAAAAAATAAAATAAAAAACCTGAAAAGAATGAAGTGGACTCGCATATAAAAGCATCAAGTACTCTGATACAACACCAAGCGTTTAAACGAACCATGACTTTTCTGGCATCTTATTCAGAAGTTACAACATCATACTCAAATATTTTGTATTAGATTCTCAACAAACCACAGAAGCATTTGATAACTGCATCCTTTTACTGTCAGAACGAAACAGATCTGATCATTCCCATTCCATGGTAAAATATCGAAACGCATCCAAACCACATCAAGTCGGAAGCGGCAAATCTAGAATTTTTTTGTTTTGTCGATGTTGCATTTGGCTTAGCTATGGATTGCAACAAACTACGTCCATCCACTACACCTGAAAAAATAGAGCAGTAGGCTACAGTACAAATATTCATGCATTCAGACTCTTCATTTTGCAAAAATGCAAGATTCGTAACTATTGTACAGTAAAGGGACACATATAATCCCATATTCCAATGTACGTAAAATCACATAGAAAAAATATCAATATCTAATAGTCATTTCATAGTGTTTACCAAGGACAAACATTCAGCTGCAAATACAATTTGTTTTTAGTACAGTAAAACAATTTCATTTCATATTTAGTTAGTACCTAATTTAACGTACAGACGTTTGTCTGTTAGTGGAAAAGAGAAATGTGCAACACAATCAAACTTGTGCAAATACATAAGAAGCGAGAAATGTGTGTGAGACGTATTTTGTGTGTTTAAAAGGCAAAACTTTTGAGCTTGAAGAACAACGACGGACTGGAAAGTAAAATATTCGTCATGACTGGCATGGGTAAAATAGTTTATGTACTACATTTACAAGAAAGAGCAAAGTATTATATCAAAGTTTCAGTCGAGACTAAAACAAAATACTAAAATACTTCAAACGATTCAAAATGATAAATCAGATGAAACGGTTTGCTGATCTCAAAGAAGCAGATCATGCACATCATGATGCAAACCAGAAAATCAAACAACATTTAGACTTTGAACAGACTGAATTAAAGAAGTGTCTTTAAAGGATAAGTTCGATATTTTACAATTAAAGCCCTGTTTTAAGATAATTTCTGATGAAATAGAATGGTTAAAATAGTTTTTTGGACAAAATGACCTGAGAATTTTCAGTTTCTGTGGTTGCACCCCCACACCTCTACAATGGTAGCATAGGTGCACAGGTACAATCCTTCATAAAACGCAACTTTGGTTTACAAAGACGTGAAACTCACCGAGTGGTCTGGGTTGTTCACTGATATGCTCATACAAAAATCGCTGCAAAAGATGCTTTATCGTAGTTTTTGTCCAACTCCATTGACTTGTATTGTATGTTCTGTGATACGGTATTACTCCGCCGCCGGAAACGCAAACGCAAGTGAAGCCCGTTTTTGGCGATTTTTTTTTGCACTTCCGTTCCTGACGCGCAGACTCAAACCGACTCAAACAGAGCTTGACGACGTCTGCCTTCTAGTGGCTGTGGCATGAGAAATCTGAATCCCTTCCGAAACTTGTGCAGAGGCGGAGAGTGTGAGTAGGAGCTGTCCATGAGCTACACTTTTGCTAAGCATTCTGATTAATTATTTTGTCATTTTGCCTCCACGTTTCCCAGATTGCGCATATGGAAATCTCTCTACTGTGCGACAGAGAGTCGCGTGGGTATGACGCAATCGTTAGCCTACTTTCACTAAAACTGCTTCTAAGGGGCCATAACATAAGCTACAAGGTAATGGAGCATTTTATACATTGTCGTGTTTCTTTAGAAATAAATAAAGGACAAATGGGGTCTTCAAACGCCTCAGATGTAAAGTTATTCGCAGTCAAAGTGACGCCAAAATGAATGGGAGTCAATGGGAATGCTAATGATGTTAGACAGTGGCCTCCAGTCACAGATGAAGGTACAAACGATCTTACAGATTATTTATGAAAATAGCTTGGCAAGCTAGCTAGGCTAACGTTTGCTAACGAAGAAACTATCAAAAGATCTGTCCATTTGGCAACAATAAATAAATAAATTAAATCAAATAAACAAATTCATGTTTTTCATTTGTGTCCATTATTTATCTCATTTTCACATTGCAACGGGCAAGGGTAAGGTAACGTTACAGCTAGAAAGTATACATAATATCAACCAATTAGTGTTTTTAAACCATGGAAAGAGGTCAATATAACAGCAGGAGAACAATTATGTCACATAACGTTATATTTAGCTCAGGAAAGCCATTTAATGACCATAGCATGTTAATTGAATAGAAAAAATATCAAGAGAGGAGATTTTGCTGATCACTATATCACATATTTATTATATTTTTTTACTCATGTCATTAAATAATTGTTATTATACGCGAATGTCCGCGTCTTGTACTCGCCCAGGAAATCTTTGTAAACCGTACGGCACCAGACAGGGGCAGTCGACCCGGGGTATTCACAATGTTTTCTCTTCAAAATTGAAATTTTACTGCCACCATTGAAACAATTTATAACGGAAACTGTTTACCCACTCATTATACAAGGGGTAACGTTAGTGACAGTCGTAAATCGCGGGCTGTTTATTCCAGTGGACGCAAGTTGCAACTAAAACAATAGAAGGCAATGGCGCAACGCTACCCAGCAACAGCTCAGTAATGGCGCCCGCTTACTTCCGGTAGTTTCGCCGGATTCGTCTATACAAGTGGTTTGGTTAAGGTGCATTATCGCCACCAACTGGGCTGGAGTGTCTATTATTCAAGCTCTCAACGGAAGAATGTTTGTGAGGCGTTCGGAAAAACAGGTCTAAAGTGTTACAACGAATAATAAAACACCTGTCGGAAAGCATCTTTTGCAGCGATTTTTTTGTGTGAGCATATCCCAGACCACTCGGTGAGTTCCACGTCTTTGTAAACTCAACTTTTATGGGTTTTATGAAGGATTGTTCCTGTGCACCTATGCTACCATTGTAGAGGTGTGGGGTGCAACCACAGCATCTGAAAATTCTCGGGACAGCAGCGTTTGGCTAAAAAAAAACAATCTTAACCATTCTATTTCATCAGAAACGATCTTAAAACAGTTAGCGAACTTGTCCTTTAATCCTTTAATGATTTGGCTAATGATCCATACGGGAACTTAATAATTGTTCTGGTTCTTATTGATACTGTAGAAGATGTGACTGAAAAACTTAAATCTAATGTACTGGTACAGAGGTCCTATGATCTGATATATTCAGAAGAACTATGAAAACAAATCTAGCGGTGCAGAGGAGGTTGACAGGAGTGTGATGAACACTTTGTATTTTACCTACAGTGCTGTTTTCCTTTTAAATGTCTCCGCAACACCAACGACTGACTGAAGAAGCCACCTAGAGCCACCCAGCTAAAGAGGACTGCTGATTGGTCAGGAATAGCGACTCCATCACCAGTCCTCATATTGTCGTGTACTTGGTTTTTGTTCAGCGTGACCTCCTGAGTGTAACAGGAAACGGAAAAGACCTTTAACAGTTCAGATCCATAATTATGCTGGTAGAACGAAACCCAAAACTACTTGAGGCGGTGAAGTATAACGCGGTGAAGTCCAACTTTCCAAAAATCTTGAAACGTTTTCTTGCTTGCCAGCAGACAATGTTCGGCATATCCCACAATGCAGCAGCTGTGAATGAGGGTTGCTGGTTTAACAGGACAGTTGGTTCTCCTTCAAAGGGTTCGATTGCCTCTGCAGCTCGGTGCAGATTGCGTTGTTCAGACAAAAAAAGTGAGATTGAAACATTAGCAAAATAAATAACCTACCATCTATAAGTCTACATAATTTTAAAGGCAAGCTTAAATAGCACTTTACATATTTTGCGAGTTAACGTGCAGAATGCAGTCGATTAATACATGAACACAAATATCGATCTATATATTTATTTATTGAGCTCTCCGCAAAAAAAGAGGAAAAAAAATAAAAATACGCTACTTTATGCGACATGAACAATAACCTGACCTGTGGAGTAAAGCCCTGCCCTTTAAAAGTTTAATTGTGTATGTAGTCTAGTGAGTTTTTCTAACACTTTTTTGCATCTCATCTAAGTCATTGACTCTGCTACATATCCATACTCTATAATATAACACTACAGATAATAAGAATTGCTTTGGTTTTTAAAAAATAAAACTTCGGGTTTGGCATAGAGAAATGATTGACCCTTGAGGGTCTGCAACGGCTAGAACCCATTCTGCTCCCCGTGTGACATGACGTCGACACAAATGCTACATTGTCAGGAACATTTCTCAGCAGATTTATTAAATGCCCCAATTAATTGACTGGTGAACAATGGATCTGCATGTAACTAGCCATGACTGATTCCGGACGCCGCTACAATCTCGCCGGTTACATCCATATCCATCCGTGTATGTGTTTGTATCCAACTCCTAAAATTTGTGTCTAAAATCAGCCCCGGGCGAGTTGGCGATATCTATCAGAGTGTGTGTTCATGCTTTTGGGGTCGGTGGCGGGGTGTATTGAACGAAGATACGCACGTAGCGATGCATGTTAAGACGGGGACGTGGATGTGTCTAGGTGCACGAGGGGCTGGTGGCGCTCTCGAGCGAGGACTGGGAGAGTCGGCGTGTCAGAGGGCCGATGCTGGGGTCCGCCAGAGAGGAGGTGGGGAAGAGCTTGTACCAGCCGCCCACCATTGATGAGAGATCGAGATCATCCAGGAGGATCTGAGCCATTCCCATGAAACACTTGCTGTCCATGCGGCCGTAATCTCCCCACACGATCACCTGGTGAGGATAAATGGATGGACATTTAGGATGGAGCGGCCCCAAATATGGCATTTGCACTTGGTGTGAAAGTTTCTCATGTAATGATATTTATACATTTTTAAGTGTCTTATACTCCGGACACTTAAAAATGTGTCTTAAAGCTACACTGTGTAACTCTTTTAGTTTATTCTTAGCTAAAAACACTTAGTTCTTTCAAAAATACAGTATATGCGCTCATTAATGTATATTTAGTTCGTTCAAGTAATAAAGTATTCTCGTGAGTGTATAATATGCCATTGAAAACACATACGGGTAAGCGGTCGCCATGTTGCCCCTCCATCTTTTCGTTAATTCAAGCTTCGCCTTTCGCGTTTACGTTTGAGTTAACACTCATGGACGAGGTCGAACTGGAAGCCATGTTAATCTTGGACTAGATTGGCCACCGTAGGAGTTAAAACGAAATCGGAATTGAGAGGAACAGAAACTAATATTCAATGGATGGTCATATACCTTTTCACCACTAGATGAGGGTAAAAATCACACAGTGTAGCTTTAATGTTAATCCGTAACCGAGACGTTTTATAGTTTAAAGTAAGATTTTTTTTGAAAAAAATTAATACTTTTATTCAGCAAGGATGCATTCAATTAATCAAAAGTGACATTTATAACATTACAAAAGATTTGTTTCAAATAAATGCTGTTTCTTTGAACTTTCTATTATGATTGACTTACTATCATGGTTTCCATACTGTTTTCAAAATTGATAATAATAAGAAATGTTTCTTGAGCACCAAATCAACACAGAATGATTTCTGAAGACTGGAGTAATGGCTGCTGAAAATTCAGCTTTTTCCATCACAGGAAAAAAATTATATTTTAAAATGTGTTCAAAATAGACAACTATTGTTTAAAATATAATAATATTTACTATATTTTGATCAAATAAATGCAGCCTTGGTGAGCAAAAACTTTCAAAAGCATAAAACAACCCTACTGACCCCAAATGTTTGAAAGGAGTATGTCTATAAAATAAATGCCCAAAATCTAAGCATTTTATTGCAAATATTAAAAAGAATTTAATGATTTTTCTAACCAAACAAAAAAATAAATGATATTAAATAGTAAGGTTTTAACACCAAATCAATTACACTGTATTCAGTGGAAATAGTAATTAGACTTAATTATAATTATGAATTATGACATTGTTATGATTATGAATATTAATTGATAGGCTATATTACATGTTATTTGGTTAGCCACTGATGATATTCAATATTCTAAGATTTCTTAAAGGGGTGTTTATCATTTAAATAATAATAATAATTACAATTATACTGCATAGACTGTACTGAATATGAACAGTGTAAAAATTGCAAAATAAGCCCCAAGAACTTTAAACAGCGTCTCCTGTCTTTCCATCAACAAATTCAAGACGGCAAGATTTTTTTTAAACTTTTCATTTTTTTTGGGACCTTTTTTTTTGGGATATTTAGATGTTGTATGCTGGTTTCTGAAGAATGTGTTTGTGAAGGACAGCTGGAGTGATTTGGATTTGTAATACCTGTAGCACTTTCCCCTGCGGGCTCTCGTCAAACATCAGGGATTGCTGGAAGGTTGGATCCAGGGTTTTCTTCACCACTTTGGTTTTCTTCTTAGCGAGACACATTCCATTCTCCAGAACATAAACCTTTATATATGTTGCTGATAGAGAAAGAATCATCCAATTATGAAACAGTGTCCTTACCAAACAAATCATGTGGATAAAATGATTCAACACACTCATTTTTAATCATGGGTTACCTGAAATGGTCTTTGAGCCTGGTTTAGGGGTCAGACCTCGGGCCTGCGTGATCTCAACCTCTAACTGACCCCCTCTATCCATCACACCAATGTAAACATCACCTACACAGAGAAAACCACATGGCTTAGTTATGATCAAAACCTTGATTTCTGTGCAGAAATCTTGCAATGGGATAATTCAACAGCAGGTGGAGACAAAGAATAACATTAACCTTCCTGAAAGTTTCTGCCTCGATTTTTGATTTGAAACGGAAATTAGATACATAGGCTATTATTAAAACTAACAAGCCAGTAACTCCAGTCCAGTCAACAAGGGCTCCTGCAAAGATTGACATTTATCACATCTGCGTCAATTTGCAGACAAAATCATTGAGTCCACAGAATGCTAAAGGATACTATTTCTACTTTATATATTATGCTCAGTTTGAAAATTTACTGTACATACAAGATACCCTGGTGACCTTTACGTGAAGGACACACTGCAATATACTCGACTTGACCTTCTATATCCAGTGTGACGAATTAAGCTAACGTTAACTCTTGAAACATTAATTGATTGAACTGCCAAGAGCCAAGGCGGTTTAATATGATATTAGCATAAAAATGCAAATTAACTTTTTTTATGATCAAAATTGTAATTGCTGTATTAAATGTATACTACCCAGTATGCGGCTGTCTTACCCATTGGTGGTGTGGCTAATGTCTGACGTCCCACTATCTGTGCGGGACCAAGGCCATCCAGGAAGTCACTGAATTGGCTCTCAGGGCCCAGGCGAGTGGTGGGGAAGATGAACCTAAAATACACCCGATGAGATGTGCGATCTATCAAACTCATCAATACAGAACAATGCAATACGTAGTACTGAGAAGAAACAAACTACTTCATCATTTAAAGCTACACTGTGTAACTCTTTTAGTTTATTCTTAGCTAAAAACACTTAGTTCTTTCAAAAATACAGTATATGCGCTCATTAATGTATATTTACTTCGTTCAAGTAATAAAGTATTCTCGTGAATGTATAATATGCCATTGAAAATACGTACAGGTAAGCGGTCGCCATGTTGCCCCTCCATCTTGAAAGTACATTAGCCAAAGAGGGACATACCTGTTCAATTCGCGTTTACGTTTGAGTTAACACTCATGGACGAGGTCGAACTGGAAGCCATGTTAATCTTGGACTACATTGGCCACCGTAGGAGTTAAAACGAAATCGGAATTGAGAGGAACAGAAACTAATATTCACTGGATATACCTTTTCACCACTAGATGGGGGTAAAAATCACACAGTGTAGCTTTAATGTGAAAATACCTCACATTACACATAGATGTATGAAACTTGTCAAGATTTGATAATATTTAGATCTGCAACTAACAATTGTTTTAATAACCGATTGATATGTTGTTTTTAATTATTAATTAATTAATCAGATGAATAAAATAATATCAAAGGACTTAAAAAGTTTAATTAATCAATTGTTGCAGCTGTAATCATATTACACCACATTTGACAATAAAGCACATTTAATTATGTGACACAAAATCTATATTAATCAAATTGAACAATACTGTTGTACTCCCTCTGCTTATTTTATGTAAAATATTTGTTTCTTTTCATATCGTTTTTGTGAGATTCATGCATTTGGATGATTGATTTGTGATCTCCAGGTTAAATGTTTGTGATGGATGGACTGATTAATAAATAAAGCAAAAAACGAATACATTAAGACACCATGTCACTCACGTTCCATCAGAGCTGTTGCTGTTGGTGCTGCCGTCTGTTGAATCCTTACTGCCCTGCCGTGTGACACGGTTCCTCATCTCCACAGCGATACCCGTCTCCGTGCTCCGCCGGATGGTACTGCGAAGCTTCTTTGTTCCACCATCTACACAAAAAAACACATTTAAGTCACTTTCCATGAATTGTTACTTGAAATAAACTGTAATCAGATAATTACCACATGTCACAAGCTCATTGGCCTCTGCTGATCCTGCAGTCGATGACATTGCCTGCTCAACGTTTAAATGGCTAGTCCTCCAGCACGTTATCCGAGTTCCTCTGAACCCATGTATGTGTGTTTATTAACTTGCTCTGCAGCAGATCTAGTCGGCCAAGACCAAATACATTAACACTGCCATATTCCACAACATCTCAAAGTGGCACTGATGTAAACTCCTAAAATGTAATGCCATGTAAAAATACAGCATGAACTGCTAAAGTGTTTATGAAAAAGAAATCCGAGCTTATGTAGTGCAGACATATTTCATACCAGGAGTCATTTACTTGCGTGCTAATGTAAACTCATCTGTGCCCTCACTTCCAGCTGTTTACAACTGCTGCATTTAGCTGACATACTTTTCTGACAAGCAATCAATCCAGGCACAGCAGAAGAGCTTGACAACTCAAATGCTTTTGCTTTTGTTCTCAAACACCAAATATGGAAATCAGAACAAAAGAAAGTGTTTTCAATTTGTAAAAGGGCTTGCAAATAAAGCCAGACCGATATATTAGGCATTTTCCAAACTATCGGTATCGGCAGTTATAATGGCCGATAAATTAATATTTCAAAAATAAAATAAAAACGGACGAAACACGCTTCAACCATGTCATAAGTGTTGGAGTTGTATAGTTTGTCCAGCAGAGGGCGCTCTACACCGTTCCTGTTGGCAACACTCGTTGAGTTGGTCAGAAGACAAACATTGCTTGAATAACAAGTAAAAGAGCATCCCCATCAGTTCACTTAACTCAAATAAGCATGACAAAATTCGTGACTATCATGTCCAGTTTAAAATAAATAAATAAAATATCAGCCGATATATCGGAATATCGAATTTTAAAACCCAAAAATATTTGTATCGGTATCGGACTTTAAAATCCTTTATCGGTCGGGCTCTACTTGCAAACACAGTAGGTGATGATAAGCAATGCCAAATTAAAGCAAACTTCAAAACTTAAAACTCTCATGTTTCATGAGCCTAGAGGCTACCATCTGGAAGTCACCAAGGAGTTGTGCTACATCCATTAGCAAGTACACAGTGGTAAACCCCATGCTGTTGAGCTCCAAAAATGACAAAATCTGATGGATATTGCACAGAAAACTGGGAAGCACTTGTGATCGCCGTCTCCAATCATGCCCACTCAGAAAAGTGTGTTTACAGGGTACAGGGTTTATATTATGAGAGCTGTTTTTTGTCTCATGCTGATAAGAGTGCGTGTCACCTCGTATATTTTATAACATAAAAAAAGCCTTTGATGATTTATTTTCTCACAGAACATGTTGATCTATCAATGTTCACAAAAAAAAAAGATTTCTGCAATCATACACTATGGGAGCAGTGAAAAGCACAGTTCCCTTAGTGGGTGCTTATAGCCATGTTGTAATCATAAATCAAAAGTCTGGCTAGATGAGACTCTGGGGTGTTTTTCTGTCGACTGTGCCTTTAATTCTATCAGGTGTCCATGAGTTTGTAGAATGATGGCAGGCGACGCACAAACCTGGAAGATGCACAGCCAAGCTGCTGACATCACCATATAAAGTGAGAGAGGGGAAGGAAGAGAGAGGCTGCTGCTCAGCTGATGTTAGGAAAGAGATAAAGATTCAAAGATGTCGTTCTACTCTGTGCCGAAAGATGGCATCTCAAACGTGTAAAACAACAGAGAGTGATGACTTCATAATTACCTCCTGGATCAGATAGAAGCCGATAGGATCATGAGCCAAGAACTAACACTCTGATATATGAGTACTGTTAGAGTTTAAAGGGATAGCTCACCCAAAATTAAAATTCTGTCGTAGTAACACTTTATAATAACTTTCATCATTAAGTCATTAACAAACATTATATAATGCTTAACGGACCATTGGTTACAGTAATATTTATTAAAACAGATAGAAGTATGAGATAATGTGCTATTTCATAGCGATTAACAGATCATTATTTAATGTAAATTGATATGTCATTAATCTTTCAATTTATATGATAATGCATTTCTGAAAAAGAACCTACAATTTTAATCAACTGTTAAATATATATATATATTTAAGATTAGATCATTAGATTTTAGGTGTATGATCATATTAATTGAAAGTTTAATGATATTTGTAAACATCATATCATTTAATGAAAGTTATAATGTTACCAAACATGGATATAAATAACAAATATTTCTAAAGCACCAAACCAGCATATTAGAATGATTTCTGAATTAAGTAATGGATAGAAAATATGTATGGTTGTTATTCAAGATTGATCAAATAAATGCAGACTTTGTGAGCATAAAGGACTTCTTTAAAAAATACTAACCAAAAATATATGATAGGTGTATTTTAGACAAAATTAGAGCAGCCTCTTATTTTGACAAGATAGGTATAATTGCACAGTCAGCTGGTCATTATTGCCAAATAATATTTTATTGCTGCTTTAAAGGACATGTTTTCGGTATTTTACACTTAAAGCCCCTTAAAGCCCTGTTTTAAGATTGTTTCTGATGAAATAGAATGGTTATGATTGAAATTTGGACACATGCTGCTCATAACTTTTAAAGGGCCACCCCAAAATGAAAATGATGTCATTAATGACTCAGCAGCGTCTTACGTCATCAGCATCACTGAAAGCAGCTTGACAACAGACAATACAATACAATGCTGAATAAAGTCGTAGTTTTTGTTATTTTTGAACCAAAAATGTATTTTCGATGCTTCAAAATATTCTAACCAACCCACTGATGTCACATGGACTACTTTGACGATGTCTTTATTTTTACTTTCTAGACAGGGACAGAGCACTCTCGGACTAAATCTAAAATATCTTAAACTGTGTGCCGAAGGGCTTGGGATGACCCGTAAGACCTCCGAGGGTGAGCCATTAATGACATCATTTTCATTTTTGGGTGAACTAACCCAACTTTTAACAGATAACAAAATAAATAAATGTAAAGATGAATTGGAAATACCGATTATCGATCTTTTGTTTAGAGTCATTATATATAAATATTTGACTGCAGAATGTCACAATTTAGATCAAAGCCTCAAGAGTTCAAAACAGTCTGAGAAAAAGAAACATGCTTGGTTAATAAAAATAAAACAAAAAGCAACTGCGCTGGAATTGACGCAATGACTACGTTCTAACCTATTATTAGTCACAATGTCGTTTCTGCAGAAAACTATGTAAAGACAGGCTGCAGAAATACAAGTATTGCATTCCCACTTGCTTACTGTCATGGTGTTCATAGTCTTTAAAATAAAATAACTGCAAGAGCGAGTGCGAGACGTGGAGAGAACGAGAACATCTTTCTAAAAATACTGACAGAACATGAACAGTGTGGGCCACAGGAACACCGAGCAAGAAGATCACAGTCAGATGCACACAATTCACTGAGGTGTTCATTTAAATATGAGTAACATCTGATGTGGAAAGACAGTTGATGCTTAAATTCCACAGACATAATGGCAAGCAAATGTTTGGGAAATATTATATGTGACATATCAGAACAGATACTTTGTGGAAGAGAATAACTAGGCCTACATGTTGTTGTGTTACATAAACGTTATTTTACAAGAAGAAAAGTGTAAGGCAACTGTATACTCAATTTGTTCTGTGTTGCCAATGCGACTGAGGCATATTGAGATCTCGAGCAGGACTGTGTATGTCTAAATTATTTGTGCAGGTTCCCCAAATACTCCCCCATCTGCCATTGGTGGACCAAACAGTTAGTCCCACCCTAAACTCATGCCATTGAATGGTTGCTGTGTCATTCTGCTCAGATTGTGTTTGTTTTATTTCTCCAAAGTAATTTTAGAAAATGTCAAAATTACAGGGTCTTTTAAATTGACAGATACACTCACCTAAAGGATTATTAGGAACACCTGTTCAATTTCTCATTACTGCAAATATCTAATCAACCAATCACATGGCAGTTGCTTTAATGCATTTAGGGGTGTGGTCCTGTTCAAGACGATCTCCTGAACTCCAAACTGAATGTCAGAATGGGAAAGAAAGGTGATTTAAGCAATTTTGAGCGTGGCATGGTTGTTGGTGTCTGAGTATTTCACAATCTGCTCAGTTACTGGGATTTTCACACATAACCATTTCTAGGGTTTACAAAGAATGGTGTTAAAAGGGAAAAACATCCAGTATGCGGCAGTCCTGTGGGCGAAAATGCCTTGTTGATCCTAGAGGTCAGAGGAGAATGGGCCGACTGATTCAAGCTGATAGAAGAGCAACTTTGACTGAAATAACCACTCGTTACAACCGAGGTATGCAGTAAAGCATTTGTGAAGAAGACACAACACACACAACCTTGAGGCGGATGGGCTACAACAGCAGAAGACCCCACCGGGTACCACTCATCTCCACTACAAATAGGAAAAAGGCTACAATTTGCAAGAGCTCATCAAAATTGGACAGTTGAAGACTGGAAAAATGTTGCCTGGTCTGATGAGTCTCGATTTCAGGTGGTAGAGTCAGAATTTGGCATAAACAGAATGAGAACATGGATCATCATGCCTTGTTCCCACTGTGCAGGCTGGTGGTGGTGGTGTAATGGTGTGGGGGATGTTTTTTGGCACACTTTAGGTGCCAATTGGGCATCGTTTAAATGCCACGGCCTACCTGAGCATTGTTTCTGACCATGTCCATCCCTTTATGGCCACCATGTACCCATCCTCTGATGGCTACTTCCAGCAGGATAATGCACCATGTCTTGTCATGCATCTTTATATCTCTGATATTACTTTAACTTTTAAATTACATTTTTAAAAAATCTTTTACTCCGTGGAGGAAGCCTTCTTTCGTTCACAATCAAACAAACAGACCTCTGACTGAACCAACTAATTGAACCAAGAAACATTATTCTAAACTTTTTTGCATATTATTCCTGGTCAATTTT